CCCCCCGGCCCCAAACTTTCACTCTCTTGAGGTCTGCTCTTCAGGGAAACCTGAGCTGGGAAAGAGCAAAGTTTGGCACTTCAGCATTCTTAGAAGGATATCAAAAGCTACCGCAGTCTGTGGGTTTCACATGTAATTTGCAGGGACAGAAGAGGTAAGACACAATGGGGCTACAGGCCCCCTGATGTAAAACTGCATAGATAGAGAGTCACTCGAGAAATAAAAATCCCTCTACAAGACCCTTAAGGAAGGAAGCTTGAGATGACATTATACAGCGCCTTGCATGACGCCCATCAGTGCCTATTCTCACAAAGAGATGTTGGCTAGAAGATTTGCTTTATTTCCCTCTGCTGGGCTTAACAGGAAGATGAAATCCTAGAGAACAGAAATTAGCACATATGACAAAAAGCATCCTTTTTTCACCAGGACTGTACACCCACCAGCTCATGAAGGAAAATTTGGATCTGGGCAGAACACCTCTGGAGAGCATGGCAGGAGATTACATTTTTCAAGCCCAAACTCTGTCTGCCTGGCAGATGGAGCATAAGCAGTCAGTGTCCATGTGTTACCCACCTTTGATTTTTCTGGTCCCAGACTCATACAGCCACCCTATCTGCCCTACAAATATTGAGCTAGGAAATGTCTCCCTCAGTCAAGCCCCCAGGAAGCACTTACCTAATGCTAAGCTTTTTTTTTATACCAGTATGAACAAGAAGGGTCAAATTCAAAAAATATTTGAAAGACTTGGTCTGCTCTCACTTTCTCAGAAGATGCAACGTGTAGGAGTAAAGAGTTACTTAATTTTGGCCAGTGCTGCTGCTCTCCTTTCTGTGTTCTGGAACAAGGCTCGGATCAGACTCTTCACTTCAGCTGCAGAGAATTCAGCTGCAAGAGGCCCCTTCCCATCCGCCCACCTACATAGGAGAGAAAGATCTTTATTTAACCAAACTGCACAGAAATGTCATATTAAACCAAGTCTTCTGAGCACTTGTTACAGGAGTAAGTCTGAAGGCAAAACAAATCCAGTTAGCAGCTTATTAGCTGCATGCAACTTGAGTCCAGAATTGTTTAGCTAAGTATATAAAGTGACAGGTTGTGAGGTGATTTTTGCACTCATTACAAACTGTACCTTTTCCTTCTCCAAAATGAGTGTGAAGCCTGTCTGCAAAATTCCCATTCACCTCCCAAACCAAGTAGTTTATGGCCAGGTGGAAGCAGAATCGGGAACTTTGGTGTCTAACATGGTTCCAAACAGCAGCAATGAGCAGGGCACAGAAGAGGAACTGCCTTCCCTGTGTGCTTTCTCCATGGCTGGTACCTTTTCAGTTTAGCCTGCTGAGGACAGTTAGGTTTTCTTGCCATTCCGATGTATGTGTGAGGCAGCTGTGAACAGGGAATGTCTAGCTTCTGCCAACTCATGCCAACTAAAGTAAGAGAAGTAATGATGCAAATCCTCACATATAATTCAGATGAATCCCCCACTGCAAGTTAAAAGCAGCAAGCAACAGTATCTAAAAAGCAGAGGCCAATCATATGGAACAATTAGAGCGGCAAGGCGTGGCTAGCATCAAAAGCAGCAGGCAAAATGCCAGGCTGCCTACCGTGAAACACTTAGGAACTTACGAGAAGCCAAGGGGCACGCACAATCTCCCATGGCACTTTTTTTTTTTTTTTTACTGTTGCTTTTTCCTTCACAGGATGCAGCTGAACATATGAGCAAGTTTGAAATGGACTATAAACACACCAGCCAAGAAACAGCCCTAGGAGCAGTTATCTGATCCTTATTAACAGTGATTGCCTTTTGTCTGAACACAGTCCCCTGAGTGCAGTGCCCTGCTGATGTCAGACCACTTCCCAGCTCCCTGTTATTGGGGCGAAGAACTAGCTGAAAAGGAAGAGAGGAAGACACCTACTGATCTACTATTTCTTGGAGGTTGGCTTGCAAGATGATCATCAGCTCTTTGAACGTCATCCATTTTTGCACGTAGACTGGAACTTCCTCTTGGTATTTCTTATTTTTGTCATCTTCAGGCAGTGGGGTGAAAACTTGGGGTCCTTCCTCCACCATGGTCCTACAGAGGGAGTACAACCTATCTGCATCTTCTGCAGAGATATCCTAGAATTGAACAAACGTTAACAGGGGAGCAGTTAGTTATATTTGCGGAGTGCCAAGCAGTGAGTGAAATGAAAAAAAGGTGGCTGGCTCTGTGTGTGAAGATGAAAGCAGTGGTTTAGATCACATTTAACAGTCTCAAGCTAATACAACTTATTTAATGAATAGCTATTTCAACAAGTTCTCGATGATTGCCTCAAAACAAGGGTTGTGCTTCTAAACGGTATCTTAGTGCAACAGCAAGCATTTCACTGTGGAGGTGTTATGATGGTCTGAACAGTTTACAAGGAAATTGCTCGGGCATTGCCAGCCCAAAGATGGAAGCCAAGCTTTTTGGCAGGCATAGCCCAAGGAAGTGTCCTGTAAACTAGCTGTTGGGCAAAAGAGGCTTTATTGGCCTAATGCACAGCGGAAGGCTCTTTGGATGTAGACTACAACTAGAACAGATGCACTAGCAAATTTCTATCATTTGCTGTGAAAACATATTTTAATTAAGAAATGTAATAAGATAGTTGTACTTGACCCAAGGTAACCTGACAATCACTTTAACACAGTATTGGGAGTCAAATGGAGATTTCAATGGAGAAGAATTTCAGTTTGAAATTGCACAGGTATTTCAGCATCTGGTGCCTAGACAGGATGGAGAGGTTCATTGGAGATGCACAGATTGATAATGTATTGGAATAGATGGAGTTTGGGACAAGAGTTAATGCCTGTGCCCTGAACAAAGATGGAGACTGAGTCATAGGAATGTTTACAGTAGGAGTGACACACCTAAATCCAAATTAGGATGAAATCACGGCCACTTCCCTGACTCTCCCCTTGACTAGGGAGTCATGGAATTGCTGTAAGAGTATGTACAGTCTCAACTGGATGTGAGTAACTGGTATCTTGAACGTTTCTCATAGACAGGACCACAATCGTAATTTCAATGGAAGATAACTGTTTCCCTGAAACTTGATCTTGGGAAGAACTTCTAGAGGTCAGAAATGCTAGCTGTTCGCACCATGTTCATCTCATGCAGTTACCTCTAGGGCAGCAATCCTAGTGACGATCTCTGAGAGCGCTGTGTTCAGTAAAGTCCCCATAGCCTTGCAGTATACGTTCACTGGAAGGACATCCTGCCAAACTTTCCCCAGTCTTTTCAACTGATGCAATACCTGGAAGATAACAGCTATGTGTTATCTATGATGTGGTATCAAAAAGAACATAGAGAGGCACCAAACGATACAGGATTGTGTATGGTCAGAAACCAGTTTGAAAGAAGCAAAAGGTAATGAACTATCCTGCTATTGCATAGAGCAGAAATTCCTGAGGAAAAAAAGCTACATTTTCAGTTTGCATTAGGGATCATAAAGTGTGACAGATCTTTTCCCTGAAAAATGAAAAACATTACAAACGTACGATAAAAGCTCAAGATTAAGAAGCTTTTCATTTCAACTTGGAGCAAGAGGAACTGAACTCAGCATGCTCCAATTTTACAAAAAGACATAGCCCAGGGCAAAAAAAAATCATGCCAGAAAATTTTTGTTTTGAAAAGTTCCACTCTGCTGACATGCTGCACAGTTGCCAGGACTGAGATTACATACGTTACCTTCCCAAGGACAGCATATACAGACAACGGGTTATCTGGCTTTGATTGCCTTGCTTACCTGCCTTATTGCTTTGTTTGCTGCACAGTAATTTTCCTCATCATCCATGTTAGAAAAATTCCTGGCACTTGACAGCCTCTCCAGGATTTCTCCTTTCTGCACTCGCATCTGGGCCAGAAAACACTCCATCCCTTTAGGAGCAAAAACAAGTAGAGACAGGCAATTAAGCAATTATTAAATTTGCTCTGCCAATTTAGAGACTGTAAGTGCTGAATAATGAACTTGCTATAATGTTTTATTTTTAAAGGAATTTCCAGTTTCTAGACAGTCTCTCAGAGCAAATTTAACCAGGCCTAGTCACATATTTGGTAAGCTCTTGCGCAGCTTGCGTTGCTACTACGCTTTTGAAAAAGAGCCAAGGCACAGAATTAACTATGGATGACAGGCTTCTGTTAGGCGCTGTCACACTGTGCTGGTTTTGGCTGGGGTAGAGTTAATTTTCTTCATAGTAGCTAGTATGAGGCTATGTTTTGGATTTGTGCTGGAAACAGTGTCAATACCCAGGGATGTTTTTGTTCCTAAAAAAAACTTTTCTACTCCTTACCCCGCCCCACCAGCGAGGAGGCTGGGGGTGCACAAGGAGTTGGGAGGGGACACGGCTGGGACAGCTGACCCCTACTGACCAAAGGAATATTCCATACCATGTGACATCATGCTAAGTATATAAAGCTGGGGAAGAAGGAGGAAGGAAGGAAGAGACATTTGGAGCAATGGCATTTGTCTTCCCAAGTCACCGTTATGCGTGCCGGAGCCTGGCTTTCCTGGGATGCCTGAACACCTGCCTGCGATGGGAAGTGGTGAATGAATTCCTTGTTTTGCTTTGCTTGCCTGCACGGCCTTTGTTTTACCTATTAAACTGTCTTTATCTCAACTCACAAGTTTTCTCACCTTCACTCTTCTGATTTTCTCCCTGTCCCACTGGGGAGGAGCGGGTGAGCGGCTGCGTGGTGCTTAGTTGCTGGCTGGGGTTAAACCATCACACAAACTTACCTCAGAATTTGTTTCATAGAATAAGCTAAAGAGAGTATCAAATGACTGAGCAGCAGATCCCAAAATATGAGTGCCACATCTCACTGGATAACGAACTCTTCTTGGAACCATGTGCTGGACAAGAAGATTTGGGTTTCAGAGTCAAGCCCTGAACAGCTATCTTGCTTAAAGTTGTAATGCTCTGTCAGACTTCCCAATTTAGAAAGTGTCCTTGCTACTTGTCCAAAACTCTTAAATAACAATCCACTGCTTGAGTCAATAGCCACACATTAAATTATTTGGCAACAAATGCCAAGATTAATTATCATGTCACCCATCAATATAGTTCAATAGTGAAAGGTAAAATTACCAAGTCTCCTAAAACCAGGTACCAGATCTACAAAAGTAGCTGCTCCATCACACAGGATGTTAGTCAGGCGGTATCGGAACTGGTGTCCGAGGGTGAGCAAGTGGTGAGCAATATACATGCAGTTGTTGTGGTGAATGGCTGCCAGCTGGGGTAATTTCTGAAGGTTCTCTCTGTCCCAGGAAGGAGGAAGAGAAAAGAAAGAAAGGTATTTATTTAGACCTGGCTCTGTGAAAAAAATTGTCACACCTACCCTAGAGAAACTCAAGGTCTGTCTCAGACAAATGTTGCAAGTAACTAAGTGTGGGCAAGGCCTGATAAAGGCATCACTATGAATAAAGGCATTTTATCTCCTAGCACATCCACACAAGAACTTACACGAAAGGGGTTTCACAGCTAGTGAAATGGCACTTGGGCATTCAAACCATGACTTATATCCACATTGTTTCTAGCAATGGGCTTTCAAACAGGAAGGTACTTTGTTATAGCATGATGGGGAGGAAAAGAGAGAGAAGTCCTTTTCAGTAATACCCCTGTGTTCTCTGACAGAATTATATGCTTTCAACCTTCATTACTGGTTTTTTTTACAGGAAAAACATAATGAAAAAAATCTCTGCATCAGACCTGGGGTCAAAGTTACGTGACTGGATTCAAACACAACCATTATAAAAACTGCAACTATCTCCTCAGTCGTAAGACTGCCAACTCTGAAACTCTCAAGCACCTATTGTGCAGCAGGTAAAATTTAATACCAGATTAAGAGTACTAGTGTTTTGCTGCCAGAGGAAGCTCTTAGTGATATCTGGCTGCGGTGCACAAACTGGGGACAAGTGGGGCTGTTCCAATAGCATTGTTCTCTCTCCAAAACAGGCCCTAGGTAATACACACACAGACACTTACTTGTGGTATGTTGGCACTACATCATAGAACAGCTGGAATATATTCCGCACAGAGTAGAAGAGTTGTATACAGCTACAAGGGAAATAAGGTTCACGTTAGTTTGTCAGTGGAATTAACATCTTGTTCACAAGTGTCCCTCCACCTTCTCCAAAACAAGGTTTTATTAGTAGCGAAGCACTGGCAGTGAAATACTGGCACAAAGATTAGATTGTCAAGATCAATTACAGCGACGTCAACAAAGGCAACATTCTGGAAAATTCACAAAGGCTTCTCAGAAAAGCTGTGATGACCTTCTAAGTTCAATGTGGAAACGACAAGCTTCAGACCACATGTCAGAAGGGAGATACATGAAATCCCAGGAACAAAGGGGACGGTGTCCCTTCTGCCACCAGGAGTGTGTAAAGTCAGCCCCCTCTCTGCCAGGGTATACTGAAGGGCATTCAGTACCTAGGCAACTCCCCTTCCTTGGGATTGTGGTCTCCAGTTTTTATAACAGACTGCATGTGGTTCCTCAAAACGTTTAACTGTTTTCTCTGAGGAGCCCTGCCAGATGCAGAGCTGGAGTTCTTTGCTTTCACCCAGCACACATAAAGCAAGAACTCACCTCAGAAGGGGTGCCATCATTTATCACTTGCTTTGAAAAAAAAGAAATGGTTTTGATTTTTCTGAGCAACTGACATTGAAGATAGATAAAACATTGAAGTGAATGCTGCAGTAGCATTTCTCCCAACTAAAAAAGTGAAGCTGTGAACTATGTGGTGCACACTAGGGAGTTTACCATATTTTCACTGCTTTAATAACTAAAATACAACAAAGTGTACCTGAATGTTCCCTGAAAACCCAAGTCCAAAAGGCTGCTTAACCTGAATACCACAGGGAACACAGTCTGCAGCTCTTCCTGTTGTACCAGCCTACTGCACGAACCCAGGCATGCATCCTCCAGCCAAAACAGAGAGTAACTTTCATGACTGATTCTAATTTTTAAGTATCTTCTGTTCTTTTAAAGTTCTTTTACTCAATTAACAGATGCTTGGTGTTGCCAAAGGCCATAAATATCTGATACCTAAGAGTTACCCGCGGATATAGAATTCCTACCACTGATCTGTGCTGGCTGTAGCCTCCAACAGGGTCTGATAAGCCAGCTCCATCAGTTTCTCCACTGATGAACTGATGCGGCATGTGGGCAGAGAAAACGTGTACTGGCTCAGTTTAGTCTCGTTCTCCAAATTCACCGTGTCATTATGCAGAAGTTTAGAAGTTGTTTGCATTTTTAAGTGATCTCCTGCCCCAGGATCAGGAAGCCTCGGTAGGGCTACACTGGAATCAGGTGTGATCTAAGGGAAAACAAGAGAGAGATATAATGTAATTCAAAGCTCACAGAAAGGAGACTGTGCAAGACTACAAAACATTGAATGATAGAGATTTAAGACTCAAGATAAACACAGGGCTCCAGAAGTCCCCTAAGACAGCTGGATGTCTCCTGGCTTATGAACAACACAGCAGACCACAAAATGATCTATATAATGTTGCATACCTACAAGCAACTCTGTAAGTAATCCTCTAACTTTTCTTATGCTATAAATGCAAACTTCAAGTATTTTAAGAAGCATCTTGTTAGTGAAATACCCTACTTGAGCACTATTAAAAAAGGCTTTGAAACTGTTGTTTTGCCAAGATCCCCAAATAATCAAGAGTAATCGGTGCTCCACAAAAAAAAAAAAAAGGACTTTACTGTTCTAGACAAGCCTTCTTCAACAGGTATTTTCCAACACAGAAAAAGTGTATTGCATCAACAGTTACCTTTACAGTATTGTGTATTTCTGAGGTCATTAGGTTTCTGGCTGCCACAATCACATCCTGGCACTTCTTGTTAGCAAAGTGGGAATTGACATTACGGGCGTATTTCAGTAAATCAGTTGTGTCTCCTTTCAAAAACTGCATGTTCTTCAAGGCTTTTTCAAATTCCTCTGTGGATTTAATCACCTGAGAAAAGCAGGTATATATTCTACATTAACATAGTTTCCTAAAATCAAAAACAAAATTAAAGCTGAGTATAAACTCTTTCACTCAGCTGAAAGCAAAGGATGAACCTAGGTTTTAGAGGGTACTAACCATCCAACAGCTTTTCAGCAATCTTTTGGAAAGAGCTGGCTCAGCTGGGGGCCGTGATCGCACAATAATACAGTGTTTAAACTGCAGGTTTGTCCCCCCTGACTGCACTGGCAACCTAACTGAAAAACCAGAGAAGCAAGATGATCAAATTTCATTACACTGGGCTACCTGGGATAAAGGGACTGGGAGATCTATCCTACGACTGCTTCTATTTGAAACGGCCCCCTCTCCAGGAAAAGGAGCTTTTGGCATTCTTCACTAGCAGTAAGTTCTGTTTTATGTATGTAGTTTTTAAAAAATGTACGTGGCCTGTGCAAGAAAACCCTGTGATTCTTAATACCACATACAAACAGAGCAATCAGTCCTCAGGAAGCCAGCTGGGCAAGCAGCACTGCCACATCATCATCTTCAGCCTCTCACAGAGGCTCAGACAAGCGCCTTGCATCGCACACCCTGAAACCCTCCAGGTCTTAGCTCAATATGGCCCGAGTTCCATGGATCAGAGACCTGGCATACTTAACGTGACAGGAAAAGGCCGCCACAGCTTAACTGAGAGAAATACGCAATTCTAGAGTAGCAAAACACAGCTTCTTGTTGAAGTTGGCCATGTGGCGTTTCCACCACATGGATCTGAATTTTGAGACCTACCTCTATATACTGCTCCAGTTTGCTGCTATTGGTTGGGATTGAATTCACCAGACAGTTCTGAATGAGGCAGTCTGATAACTCTTCCCATATCATATCACCTAGCAGTTCTGCGAGTGTAACTCTGCACTCCTTTTTATCTTCCACAGGTTGCTCAAGAGGCACATCTGAATTCAAGAAAACAGAAATGGAGTTTAATACACCTGCTTCCTGGACCACAGCCTTCACCAGTTCATTTGGTCCTTCCTGTCAGAACAGCATCTATCAACTGTTCCATAATCTTATAATAGAGGTATTCTTCTTATCCAGGCCACGTGCTGGGCCTGTGGAATCATCCACCCCATCAAAAACCAACTAGCTTCTGTGTAAACTGCGCCCACTTTCCCAGCAGGTTTATTTTGTGAAATGCTGGCAAAGCCCAGGCCAGTTTCTAGGCAATGGAAGATCCTGCATGTGACCAGCCTGACCGAGGGAGCTCCCTGGATTGCATCATGATTTCCACCTCTTAGACCTGCAGCATGCAGAGATCTTCAATGCAGTGACAGGTTCATAAGAAAAAACGTTTACAAAAAAATTAATTTCTTGATCCCTTTGAGCCAAAATACTTTCCTCCTTCATCTTCCCAGCTCTGTGAATGCTGGGTCACCTCTAAGTCCAGTTTGACAAGGTGCCAAGCTGTTCAAGAGCACAGCATAGCAAGTTAACATTAAAAAGCTGCTTAGACCTTACACATAATTCAATACAGCTTATCAACCAGATGTTCTAGCAAGTTTCTGCTCCAATTACATGAACAAGGTCTAATTCCAAAAGAGAGAAATGACCTACTCAGCAGATATTTGTGGAGAACTTCAAAAATAAGCTTGATCTTGTCAAAAACCTCCATAGGAGAGGAATGATCCAAGTTAGGCTCCTTGGACTTAAAACGTAGGATGAATACATCTGACTGTTCCTCTGTGAACGGCTGAAGAGACGGGTACGAAATCAGTGGCTTGAGGATGTATTTCAGCAGCAACTGGCCTGAGAAATGAAAAACAGATGTTTTCCAACAGCAGGAGGGCAGGCTTTTTGCTCCAGTGAGGCTCAGCCATGACTATTTTGGATATAGAGATTCTTCACATGAAGTGGAAGAAACACTCTCTTGATTAGCTGTAAAAAGGGAACAGTTAAGGAGGTAAAATGCTGCATTTGGCTTCACTAATGACCATTGTGCTCATGTAAAACATACAGAGGCCTAACAAAGAGCAGCATATTTAATATAGCGTGAAAAACAACTTAAATAGCTGGAAGCGTGAAATCCTGTCCTAGCATCTGCCATACTCCCCGATTTATTTTATCAACACCTGAGAATGCTGAAGCCCAGAGGCTGCCTGAAACCAACAGTCTTGCTCTAGGTAGATGAGGAGGCTGTAACTGGAAAAATTCTTTAAACAGCAGACCATGAAACCACATAGCTACAGATCAAAACAGGACACTAGAGTAAACTGATAAGAAAGTCAAAATCCACTGAACTGGATTTCAATATCCATCTCAAAGCAAGTCTGAACTCAGGCTACCACAGGTATGTTTATCTGTATCCACGGTCTGTCTTACCAAAAATTTTAAGCTTGGTGTGCAGTTCTCCTAGGACAGCAAATGCCTGCAGCACAGAAGCAACAGGTGGGCCAGCAATCTCCTCCTCTTTGGATGGCACTGTGCGTAAGTGCAATTCTGAATGCATCGCTGACTCCAGGCCGCTGCTTTCTAAAGAAAAAGAAGAACCATCTCTCTGTCAGAGCGCGGTGTGAGAAAGAGCAAATCTGAGAAGCTACCGCATTTCACAGGTGGCACCTAAAGCAATATTCTACCTCTCCCCATTTCCACAGAATGCAGTTCCTGTAAGAGTGTCAGAAGAGCGCACAGAGTTCCTTGTGTTACAGTGCAGGACAACAGAACGAGAATCGGTCTCTTACAATGACCTAGAATTCTCATTTCAGTCACCTTGCAATTGAATGACATTTAGTGACAACTGCTTTCCTTGCCCTCTTCTCCCCATTTCACGTCAAATCCAAAGAAAAAAGGCTTATCCTTTTCCAAAGGAAAAATTTGTGTTTCAACACAGACAGCAACAGACTCTTGCGCAGTTCTTGCAATTAGCTGTTCTGATCTCTGCTTCAACATTTTCTAAGGAATACCACAGATGAGGCAGATGAACCTTCAAAACTGTTTACAATCTACTGACTACATCGGATTGCTTCTGGTAGCACCTAAATACTCCAGCAGTGGAGTGATGTGCAAAGAATACTGCTACTCATCGCTCCCACTTATTAGGTTATGCAAACGGCAGAAAGAGCTCCTTAAACCAACCTTAGTTCGACAGTATTGCTGCATTTCCAATCTTGTAGGAGCTTGAAACCAGCCATTTCAAATAGTGAAGCAAACATAGTGAAACGAATTAGAACTGTGAGTACCTTTGGAAGGAGGAAGCTTCCATACAGCCAATGTCTGCCATTCTTCTCCGAGATGATAGAGCATGTTCTGTGTCTGCACTGTGAGCTCTGTGCCTAGTGCTTTCAGGATCTTCAGCTCAAAGCCCTTGCGGGATTCCAGCATTTTCAGGCTGCTTCGCGCCTGGTGGTAAAGATCAAACACAAAACGTGGGTAACTGTTACCCCTGTTAATAAAAAGCATCTTGTGAAATTTACTGGAAGCATAGACGAACAGTACTGTCATATGCTGAAGAAGTCATTATTACCTTCTCCAGTTGTTGAGCTGCTGCGACATACTTCTTTTCCAGCAATGCAGTATTGTACTCTTTAATAGCTGTATCAAACTGCAACAATCAAATAGATTCATAAGTGGCTGCATATCTGCTATTAGACTACATTTTTTTAAATAACATGGCTAGAGACAGGGGGGTCATAGATAATTATTCAAAAGAGAAGCCCAGGATAATGCCATAGACTGAGCAGCAGACATGATAACTACCGGTTAATGATTTTAAGCTGCTCCCCCTCCTCACCTCCTGTAGCTTCTTCAGAATACTCAGAACCAGTGTGTCTCGCTCCAACTGCTGCTTCAGTTCAGTAAATTCGGCAACAGCGACATTTAGATCACGTTGAACCTAAAATAACAAACTTTTCAGTTCATTTACAGCAAGCACATGTTATCCAGACACATTTCCTCTTAAAAGTGTAATGATGTGAGATTTAAGAGTAATTAGTTGAGGAGGAAAAAGGCTCCATCCATTTTACTCCTTGCTAGGAAGAGCCTTATAAGCACTGGAAACACTTATAAACTGTTTTCTCTTTTAACAAAGTTTTTAAAGGCACTGTAAGGCAATTTAGTCTCAAAAAGCAGTCAAAAGGACTTTAGTGTTCCTTTAACACAGCCACATGCAACCACACTTGAACTAAGCCAAAAGTTAAATCTCAATTAACAGCGCTGCAGAGCCCCAGATGTTGGAAAGTCAATCAAAGCAGCAAAAACCAGCGAGTGGGTCTGCAATCCAGCCTGCCAGAGCTGCTCATGTTCTCTTTAAGGACTTCAGTGAACGCACACAGCTGTGATTTAGGTTGCCATTCTGCCCAAAATCACTGTGGGACCAACACTCAGCAGGTCCACTACCGGGTCACACCTTACCGTGATATGCAAGGCTGAACCCTCTCTCCTGTCTGAAGCAGAGCTGTGTGACACGCTTTTCCAACTGTTCGACAGGGAGCAAAGACGCCAGTCGCTTAATGACAGTTCTTTGCTTACACCCCGATGTGCCGACACACACCTACCTCTGCAGCGTGTGTCACCTAAACGCATTTTTTAGGGGTGATAGCATCCGAGGTTCTTAGTCAGGAGTCCTCCTTCCCCAGTCCCCCGGCAACACCCCAAGAGGGGGAGGTCCTACAGGTTTGGGCTGAAACCGAACGGCATCTACCAGAGCCCCCGCGGATGACCGCGCTGTCACCTCGTTTTCAATCCCCGCTTTCAGCAGGTCGATGTTGCTGGACAGCCCGTCCACCTGCGACACCAAGTCCTCAGCGCTCTGCATGCTGGGCAGGAACTCGTTATACTTCTTGTTAATCATGTTGCAGACTTCTCCCTGAAGGAGAGGGAGCGTCGGGACACCGTCACTCTCAGGCCGACCTTCACGAGCAGGGGGGAGCGACCC